CGGCGCAGAGCGGTTTGTACCTCTCACAATACGTCATATTATGTATTATAACATCACCTACTATTGTCATGCGTTTTATTTAGTAAATGATTTACAATACCCAATCATGTTGAGAAACGGTCGGAATTCGTCATATGACACGATATCAATGAGGGGGCGATTTTCGGAAAAACATTGATGGAGACGACGGGAGTAATGCATAATCGCTTCTTATTATTGCATCGTTTTGCCAATACACGCTATCACATTTGACGTTATACTTGTAACGGTTATAATATGAAAACTATATCTATACCACAATAACTGGCTGGGCAAGCTTATAATTATTAAACATTGAAAATGTTAGTAACTGAATAACTTCAAGGAAGAAAAAAATTATGAATTGTATTATACATGATACTATACAGAACACATAAAAAAATCTGTAACAGATTTGTTTTTCCGGTGTAATGCAGAAAAGTATCCGGTAACTTCTAAGAAACTTCAAGTTTTCATGACATTTCCGCATTTACGTTCACTACAGCAACTGGAGAACGTTCATTTTCAACATTACGATGAATTAAAACTTATTTAAGGAGTACAACTGAGTAAATCAGTCTTAACGCTATGTTAAATATTTACATGGACATTACAAAAACTTCAGATGAAATTGTCGATGAAATGGGAAAAACATCGAAAAAGAGATTGGCATTTATGTACACCTATTTCAATAGTATTATAAATTGTTTAATTTTTAAAATGTACACTTTTGTTGTTTAGTAATTACATATATGATATTAATTATTTCTATAAATAGGAAATAACGATTTAAAAAGTCTATGGGTTGTTTAAAATAATTTATGCAGCAGTTTTAAATAAATTTAAAAAAAATCTTAGAGTGTGCTATCGGTTATACTTATTAGACTTTTTATTTCACAATACTCTTAACTACTAAAGGACACAATATATAATTGTAGCATTCTTAATAATGTTTGAAGAATCTAAATCGAAGTGAATTATTCACAAACAATAGTTAAATTAAACGAATTATGATTCAACGACTCAACTAGTCAACACTGCCGTATGCCTGAAATGCATTAAGTATTATGACAATTTAACGATTTATGGGTTTACCTATATATAATGTGACGTTAATAGTTTTTCCCGTGAAAAAATTAACGTAAAAAAGAAAATTAAGTGAATAAAGCTATCCTTATTATGAAGAGTACATTTTTAAAAAAACTTACTAGAAACTTTTGAATGAAATTACTTACATATGTAGATAGTAAATACAACTATGAACGATTTAATTCAATTATAATGATAAAATGTTGACCAACACAAAATTGTATGAGGGCAAATGCAAAAAATGAGTTCGAGCCATTGTATTAGGTATTAAATATTAATAATCATACGTTAATAAATAACTTCATAAAAACTAATATTGAGAGCGAAAGTTCATACTATGAGATGTAAAGGAGTATTTAAAACGTTTAAACTACTCTCAGTAAAAGGTAATTCATGATTACAGACTTTGAACTTTATTTATAGAACCTACATGTTATAGTTACCTAATAGGTAATTATCGTATTGTCTGCATCATGAATTTATAATTTATGAGTAACATCAATGAATTACAACAAAATAACAGATTTCGTTAAAAATATGGTTAGGTATGCCATAAATGTAACCATTTATTCACGATTTGTTATCCTCAAGACCCTAACACTTAGGAAAACTACTCATGGGATATAATTGGGAGGGACGGTTCTCGAAGGGCTTATCCTCCCAAAAAATGAAGATAATATATTTTTTTTGTTACAAGACTTGGTTAATTTTGTTTGAGAATATCTAAACTCCCAGAAATCCAATTCAATTAAATCTCCACCTATGATCGATATTATATACTATTATAATAATTTATTATTATCATTAACTTATAAGTCAATACCACAGACTATTTAGCCCGACTTAGTACTGTAGAAAGGTGCAATATGTTTTATAGCAATATTATAAAATAACTTAAAATAACTAATTAGATTAAACTATATTTTGAAAATTGTGTAAATATGTAGCCATGTAGGGTGGTAGGGTGATTCTTCAGATAGTAAATAGTAAATACTCATTATCTCAAGCGGTATAAAAGTTTTTAAAAATATACTTAAAATTGTTAAGTTATGACAGATGACTGTATTATTTAATTGCATTTATTATTATTATACTATTATCGTTTTAATAACTTGACAACATATTATATTATTCATCTCATACTCCGAAGCAAAATATTATTCTAAGAATTTGTAAGTATAACAATTGAATTTAAAAGAGTACTTAGTTGATTGGTTCTAAGTAATCAAAGTTTTTATTACTGCGATGTTGAGTGGCACAGGCCACAGGGGTACCCCGAAAAATGTCGTTTCACTACTCCACTCTCCTAAACTCATAACTAATTATAACTAATTCGTGCGAGTATAAGTGTTTACTTTTAAAAAAAATCAAACAGTAGATGATAATAATTTACTCAATGACAACAATTTTCAAGTCTCTGTGATTAATATTGTTTTTAATTTCAATAAAAAGTAAAATACACTTTAGATATATCTTCAAAAACAAAACTTCAGTGTATATTATTGAAATGTTAATCAAGTACCTCACAAAACCAATAAGTGGTTAATGCAGTCACTCATAAAACAATACTTAAGACATTTTAATGGCACACAGATATTTTTTTGAGTATTTCCTAACACGAAGTACGAACGTGTAGTAACCTTTTGTTAACGGCATTCGTCAAACTGGTTTGATATGCTTTTGAATCGTCAATAATAAAAGTTATGGAAATAATATTATATTTTGAATAATGTCATTATTTCAGTAAGTTGGTTTGTATTATAGTCCTCCCCATCGGAGATTCGACTTCAAATAGTACAACGAAGACCTTGGCGTTTTTTAGAGCGATTGCCTACGTGGGTTAGGAAGTTTAGTTTTGACTAACTCGTGATATTAAAATAGGTACGAAAGCCTATAGATTGTTTTCTAATTTTTATAAACTGCATTACGAATCTGAGACGATATTATTTTAGCGAAAGCATATTTTTTTAGTAGTAGAGTAAAAATTACAATCGTACATTAAGTATTGTTATATTCTTATGTGCTTGAGGTTTTCTTTTGGGTTCACTTTGACCGATCATCACATGGGACGGATGAACTATCGGGTTGGTGTTTCCTGGGCGACTGCACCGGGATGAGTATGATTAAAAAATCATCTTGTACCTATTTATAATTCATAAGTCACGACTGTTCAATGTAGTTGTTTAGTACAAATAGTTTAAATAATGCGATTTGAAACTATAGAAAATCCAATGAAATAGAAAAATATTGCGATACGAATCAATTATTGTCTCGCCTTGACTACTGAACACACGATTATTCCATATCAAAATCAGCAATATTACGAAAGCTGCCGAAATAAAATAAGAATTTAATAATGTGGTTTGTCCAACAATCAAAAATGTTATTTTACGCTACTTGACCAGTGAGCAATCTATGGCCATATAATCGAGGCTGAACTTTACAGAATGTTGAAACTGGTATGAATATACGATAACTATGTGAACCTAACATTTTTAAGTTGAAAAGTAAAGAGACAATTGTACGTCATACATCAAAACAATATCTTATAAAATATAATATAGGCTGATACCTGTCGTACAAATGGACCCAAAACTGTAATATATCACCCCGTCACAGTCGTGACCAGTGCAGCGTGCAGTGTTCCATCGACGATTAAAACATAATAATAGTATTATGTTTAAGCAAACTCGTTTTGTCACATCATGATTATTCATGCCACTAAACCGTGCCTAAATATTATCATATAGGTACCCGGTTCCTATAATTTGACCGGTGATAATACTATGGAATTACGAGGTTCCTATGTATAGACGGTTTTACGAATCGTGATTCGTAGTAAAATAATATTTTATTACTCAAATATCAAATCAAATAATATTATGATTCCCGTAAATCTCAGATAATGCCAAATGTTAATGTTTATACAAAATGCGTTTTCGAACGAAATAGGCGAATCATTACTATTTTAATCTAATCTGCATACCACGATAAACCGTAATCTAGAGCATCAACCCTGCACGACACCGAGTGGTTGTAAACACATCCCGCCCATTTAAGAAACGAAAAAATTCACATCTTGAACTTAGGGAGAGCGCATATCAAAGCAGTGCGGTTACTGACAATTAATAGTTAAATCAAAGTCACTAATGTCTGTTCAATGACAAAGATTATCTTATAAGTTCTTCTTAAACGGTACGTTAAATAACGACTCGCGGGCAAAGGGTTCGCGCCGCGGTATATTATTATTTCGGCGAACACGATTTCCTTCGTCAAAAGTTGATATATATTTTATTACGGTAGGTAAAATTTAATATTATTATGTTTGTAAAAAATATGAGTTTGTAAAGAAGTGTTTAAAAAAGTGACGTTTTACAGTATAGGTGGTATATTGGTGTATACCGATTTTTATTCATTTTATCACGCCATAGCCATTTTCTTGTTAAATTTATATGATTGTAAACATATATTTTTATTTTACAATTTGAAGTCATTACATACCTAGTACCTACACACGATATTTTTTTGTAACGATTTTCAATGTTTTTACTTTTTAAATTACAAAGTACGATGTATAGCTATTTCGAGCCGGTAATAAAAATTAGTCGTAGGCACTAAGTGTAGACGAGCGGAGTGAAGTGGCACAGGGGTATGTATCCCGAAAACAAAAAATGTCGTTCGCATTTCTGCGCGCACACAGCTTTTGTCATTTAAAAATGTATAAGCTTACGTAAAAAATTCGTTCCCTATATAGTAAAAAGTGTATAATTTATTTGTTTTTCAAAAGACGAGCGAATGCACCGAGGAAATATTACGACCGTGAGTTGATAAAATAGAATCGGCTCGCATACTACAACTGGCATAATATAACATTACAAATTACGGGTACTTACGAAAAGAGCGGCGGCAGCAGCAACAACAGCAGCAGCAGTCCACGCGTAGGCGACGAACGGTTATGTGATACGAGCACTGTACGGCACGGATTAAAAGCGCGGAGTAAAAGTATTTGTGACTGCGTGCATACAGTGTGGCGAAAATAAACATTTGTCAATATTACAGCAGGTATATTCTCCTTCTTACGATGCCCTCCCTAAAAATTCGTTGCACTGTGTGCGTGCGTATACGTTTCTGCGAAATTAAATCACGAATCTCGAGTGCACTTGTTATACATAGTATAACTACGGGACGCCTGCGGACTGGGTGCCTGCAATTATGGGTAAGCGTAGTGTACCAGATACCCGAAATAACCCTAACGCGACCGTGGTATATGGACCGTAGTCTTTCTTCCTATACCGCAGAACGTACACCAACTGCGATTAACTGTGTATTCATTTATTTATTTCAGCTCGCTTTAATTGTAATACAATTGTAATAATAATAATAATAATAATAATAATAATAATAATATCAAGAGCTGATACGTATACCAACCGGCAACCGAGCTAAGCTCGTATCTGGTATACAGAGTTCCTATTGGTAAATGTAATAATAATATATAGTTTTTAATTATATTCTATACATTCTATTTTTTATATTGTGAGTAATCGCATATAAAATTCCTTATACAGTTATTAATTATATCGTTGATTTTATTAGAATGATTTTCACATAAATGTTCTATTAGACTCTTGAAATTACTTCTCAAATTGTTAAATATAATATAGCCTTTTCGATGTAATCGGGAGAACTTCTTAAACTGGTTAATGTTGCACCATGTGTCTATAAAGTCTAAGTAGTTTTATATACTTTCCTGTTCTCTTATCTATCATTTCCATACCAATATATCATTGAGTATGCCGTGTGACTTTGTATGGATCTTATGAAAATTTGTTTATTGCACGATTTATAGGTGGATAGTATGTTTGTATTTGCTAAATAACTCTACTGAAGAGTATGTCGACGGAATAGAATAAGCTACTTTGTAATATTGCATTGTATGTAGTAAACCTATATGCGTATAGTATTTTGTATTTATATGTTTTTTGTTTTGGTGGACTCGGTCCAAGTCAAACAACTAATCTCAACAGTTATATATTTTAGAGACATAAACAATAAATTGATACATCATAATCGATTGAATTGTAGAAATAAATTGAAAGTTAAATTGTAAAGCTTGCAGCATTGCAGAAAAATTAATTAATTGAGGATAAAATAACAATATGTGAAATAAAGGAAAGGATAAACTGAGAATTAGCTGGGATATTTAAGGAATTAATTAAATCGAGCAAACTTTTGAGTGGGCCATGTATAATATTATATATGTATTATGTATAAATGAGGAGCGGTTATCTGCACTGCGGTGAAGAGGGTTGGCATATTTTGTTTTGTGTTTTATTGTATGGCACGAATGGTTCAACGGATAGGTAATAGTAATGCGCGTTTATTATATATTTTTTTCGTTTACAGGATGCATCAAAATTCCTATATCGGTATTTTAAAACTATATTTGACAAAAACATTAAATCGTTAAAAAATAATAGGTAGGTTATGAAAAAAAAAGTAATAGAATTAAATTAACAGATAATTAAATAAAGTACCCACCTATTTGTAGGCTATACCTAAAATATATATAGGTACATATTTTTATGATTTACCCACATAAATTACTATACCTACTGCACTTTATCAAATTGGATTATATTTTCATTAAACGTAATTATTATTATGCAATTTCCTGGAAATGTTGTAGTTTGAAGAAAAACCAGTGTGAAAACGCTCAACGCAATTTGTATTCGACGTGAAAAATAATTACGCGACGAACGTAATGGTATTAAAATGAAAGTGAATAAACATTGCTGATGCATTCACTGGTGATAGTAATAGGTACACAGGTATACTTCTCTGTCTCAGTAAACCGAACCGTTCAAAACGATACATTTTGTAACTTTATCCTTGAATGTTATATTCAGGTTTTTTACGTTTGAAATTTTTTTCATGTCTCGCCGTAATGATTATTATAGATGTACGCCAGATCATTATTTTAATATTTGGTTTCATTTAATTGAACTCATTAACACTGTTGTCTTCTTTATTTATAACAAAATAACGATTTAATGAGAAATTAGTGAAATTCCTAACATAAGGTTTAGAGAAGGTACCCTTAAGACGACACAAAATCGCAGTGTTCATGTAATATTGTTACCATTTGTATATTCGTGTACACAATTTACTGAAAAAGTCTTGAACCGTTGAAGTGTAATATAGTTATTTATTTACACCTTAAGGTGATTTACTAGCTGTTGTATAGAAATCTTCAAATTATACATTTATAGCTATAACGTTTTCTTACGTGAGAAACAATAGCCAGTTCACATTATTGGTACAATCGATATATTTTATACATATTTTCACAAAAGTATGTAAAAATGTACAATTTATGTTAAATTTAAAACATTTAGTATGTTAAATTTTATTTTTTGAAAAAAAACAAAATATTATTTGAATTCATTCAAAAATAAATTAAATAACTTTTGTTTTTTACTGTCAACCGTTCCCGTATCGTTTATTCATCAACATTATATATAAATTAAATATGTCTAATTTAATTTGTAATTAATTACCAATAATATTTTATTTTTTTATAAGATAAGACACATTTTGATGGTAATCTATTAATATTACATTGTATACAGGCGAGTGACGTTCTAAAAGTTAAAAGAATTAGAAGACATTTAATTTAACAATAGGTATTGTTATTTTCAAAAAATGACATACTTATTTTGTGTATTAATAGTTTGAACTAAGAAGAACCTAAGTATAATTTTATGATTTAATTTTTTTTTTATAGGTTTATTGCTTTTTTTAAGATATAGTCTACGTTTTAAATGTTTTGATCAGAAGAATAATGGTAATCAATAGTACAATTTTGAATGAACGTTTTCATATTTTGAGACACTTTAAGACTGTGTAATATGAGATGAGCGGAGTGGGGTATGGGAAATGGGAATACCCTTCAAAAGTGTCTTACGCAGCTATAATTCACTCGTTTTTTAATTGAAATGCTTACTAATAATTATAAAACCACTAACTTGGTAAGTATATATTGTATAGTTTATGACCACCTAGTCTGACATTCGATGTTCGTACTCTGACATAATTCTACTGAGATAATGCGTGTGTGTTGCGTTGAAAAAATCACCTTGTGCACCAAACTGGCGTGTGCGAATACTCGCACTAGGATAATCGGTGCGTAATTATTCTAAGTACCTAGGCACTCATTACGAGGTACGACGAAATATCTTTTTATTTTCTTCAATAAACCTGATGGACCGCGGAAGCAATAACGCAACAGCAGTGCAAGGTATACGGATTTCGTTGTGTGTTCGTGTAACATGTGACACGGCCGAGTTATGTAGTAGCATGCCATGTGAAAGTTTTCGATTTTTAAATTGGTTTTTTTTATTTAGCGCCGACTTTACGTTGACTGCCGTGCGAGTTATAGGTACCTACGCCCTATAGAGAAACGGAACGGTCGTTAAACCTTGGCAAAAGACGAGCGACGCGAACAAAAAAAATTCACCTTACTTAAGCCCGAGTACCTGTGCCGCAGTGTATACGTATATAGGTATAATGTTGAATATACTATTGTGGAGGCGGAAAAGACCGAAGAACCGCACTCGAGTAAAAACAATGGCCAGACGGCGCTACCGATAAATACACCGTCTATATAACGATCGTATAAAGGAGACGATTTGCACGCGAGTAGACCGAACAAAGGATGGCCCACATTACGATGGTTCTACATTATGACAATGCGTATACCTACAATATTATATTATCATCGCGTCATTGTCATAACGGTTGAAAGACTAGATACGGTTATACCTGGTATAGTCGGTCGGACCACATTATTGGCAAAACGAGCACGCGGTGGACGCTGCTCAAACCGATACACATTTACGGACGTGACAATCAAATAGTAAGTTGCTCTTTTCGCGAAAAACGTCGAAAATCCTCAACACTCTCGACTTGACTCTGGCCACACAATATGCGTGCGGTGTGTATAAGCGATTATTAATATTATACAATATTCTAATAACATTCTAATATTATGTTGTTATAGGCGTATTACAGCCTTAAAGGTACTCGCAGCTGCGGGAATGACGACGAAGAATTCCTTATGAATTCGTCGTCCTGGGGTCCGGAACTACTTCCGGAGGGGTGCATGTGTTATGTGTATATGTGTATAATAAATCATAATATATGCTGCAGTGTGTGCCCACCTGCAGATGAGTTCTTAAGAAACCGTTCTCACCTAACCATAGTATAAGCAATATGCATATGTGTAGCGTCATGACGTTTGGTTGTTTGAAAATTCACTCTCCTCGACAGACCCATGGCGGAATATAATCGTTTCGGCCCATAAATATTGAATTTTTCTTTCGCTTTTTTAGTTTTACGGCGCAACCGGTGTATGGATACCTACAGTATTACCTATATGTTATTTATACATAAGCAGACGCACATTATCTGCTGCAGTGGATACCGTACACACACAACCAATCGTTTAAAATTAAACCTGACTGATTTATTAAAAATCTTTAAAACGGCCGTGCGCCCATTATTCGTTTACAGTTTGTTCCTCTACAAATTAATAACAATTTTTTTTAAAAATCTGCAGCTTGCCACTAAAGTACGTCAGATTATTATTGATATTACATAATATTATTATACTACAGGTTACGTTAGAAAATCAGGTAGGTACTCGAACTCGTGTAGTATACTACCAATTGGTAAATCGTTACCAATACCGGAAAATGTGACATACCTGTCACATTATTGTAAAAGTTGTATTTTTTTCAAATTGTATTACGAGAAAGTGTCTGGGACTTGAGTCATTGAGATTAACATATAATATTTTAATCTCTACTATATGACAACTATTATAGCTGGTAAATGTCCACCGGAGACAATGAAACTTACTTTTTCGCGATGACATAAAAACAACAACATAAAATTCAAAAATTTGTAACGTTTTAAATACATGTAAATGATGATCTGACCAATATTAATAAGGTATGTATATA